TTGCCACTTGGCTTTTTGGGCTCCTGTGATGAACGTGGGATAACAATAGTCCCCAAAGTCCATGTATGGATATTTATATAATGCGTGGACTTGAAAGGTTGGGGGAAGGAAAAAAACGAAAGTGGTATAACAATAGTCCCCGAAATCCATGTATGGGCATTTATATAATACGTGGACTTGAGAGGTTGGGGGGAATGAATATATGAACGTGGCACTTTGTAGGAGCAACTATTGGAAGTAGCGATCTTTTGGTATTAAACATAGGAGGAGTCAGTAGGAGGACAAAGTGATGTTCCTGGTAGCTTGAATGTCGTGGGGATTAATTGTTGTTGATTGTTGTACTATCGCTTGGTTTTCCCAAGGTGGGGTGTATTGTTTCCAACGTATGTTGCTGGATACGTGTTTTGATCCTTGTAGTAGGAAATGAAGCATCAAGCATATTCGACAGTCCCGATCTCACCACCATATGAACGGCCAGGATCGTTGCAATTGGATAGCCGATAATGGTCACCGTTGCCTTTAAAAGGGGGCTTTCGCTTTGTACGCTTATTATGTGGCATGATTCGCATGATTTTGTGTATATGTTGCATTCAGTTAGAGCATTTGTCACTAGTTGATCATGATTGGGGTTGGTGTAATAGATTGCTTGGTTTTTGTAGATGCTATGGAGTGTATAAGCGACAGGATTTGTGGGCATATTATTTGGTTTTCTCAGATCCATGGAAATCGTAATGTAGTTGTACTACAATATTCTTTGAAGGCCCTGGGGGCAACAGAATACCTAAGGCTCTCTGGTGGATCATCAGGCTATATTGCAATAGTGTGTGATGACATCTGAGAAGTCTTTAGTGGATGTGGATCCACAGGGTGAGCTTCCCCTGAGCAGTTGCGCCGTCATTTTGCCGAACCTTACCAAGGCAAAGTGTATTATAGTTGCAATTTTGAGTTTCAACATAGTCCCGAGGGTGTACATAGTACCAAGGGTCGATATATGGAGCGTGCAGCTAAAAAGGGAGAGGTCTAGCGGTTCGCTTGCTAGTAGTTGTATGTATTGTACTTGTTGTAACTGTCCTTTGTAATTAAAACAATGTACTGTTCTCAATTGTCAATATACAGAATAAAATTTGTTCTTTTTGTTTTACTTATGTTATGGTTGCAATTTAGCGAGGCATATGTAGAAATCAAAGTTGAAGTAAGGAGATTTTTATTTAGTCAAATTTGAGTTTGACCTGAGTAGAAGAGACGATGCCTATGATGAGGTGAGCCTATTTTACTTGGTCGAATTCGAGTTTGGGTTGATACCGAGGCGATGGCTGACGAGGCGAGCCTACTGTAGTCGAATTCAAATTTGAACTTAGGAGAAGAGATGATGCCTGACGAGGCGAGCCTGTTTCACTTAGTTGAATTCGGGTTTGAATTGAGAAGAAGATGTAATGCCTATGATGAGGCGAGCCTACTGTAGTCAAATTCGAATTTGAACTTAGGAGAAGAGGCGATGCCTGTTTTACTTAGTCGAATTCGGGTTTAAACTGACGAGAAGTGGCGATGCCTATGACAAGGCAAGCCTTTTTAGCGTATTCAAATTCGAGTTTGAACTGACGAGATAAGGTGATGCCTGTGATGAGGTGAACCTATTGTAGTCGAATTCGAATTTGAACTTAGGAGAAGAGGTGATGCTTGACGAGGCAAGCTTGTTTTACTTAGTTGAATTCGGGTTTGAACTGACGAGAAGAGGCGATGCCTATCATAAGGCGAGCCTATTTAGTGTATTCGAATTCGAGTTTGAACTGACGAGAAGAGGCAATGCTTGTGATGCGGTGAGCCTACTGTAGTCGAATTCGAATTTGAACTTAGGAGAAGAGGCGATGCCTGACGAGGCGAGCCTGTTTTACTTAGTCGAATTCGATTTTGAACTGACGGAAAGAGGCAATGTCTATGATGAGGCAAGCCTATTTTACTTAGTCAAAATTCAGGGGTTGAACTAGGAGAAGAGGCGATGCCTATGATGAAGCGAGCCTGTTTTACTTAATTGAATTCGGGTTTGAACTGACAGGAAGAGGCGATGCCTATGACGAGGTGAGCCTATTTTACTTAGTCGAATTTGGGTTTGAACTGAGGAGAAGTGGCAATGCCTATGATGAGGCGAGCCTACTATAGTCGAATTCGAATTTGAACTTAGGAGAAGAGGCGATGCTTGACGAGGTGAGCCTATTTTACTTGATCGAATTCGAGTTTGAATTTAGGAGAAGAGACGATGCCTGATGAGACGAGCCTATCTTAGTCAAATTTGAGGTTGAACTTAGATGGGGTCGCTGTGAAATTTACAAGAGAAGTTGTGTAATGTCATTATGATTTGCCAGCCTTGCCGGTTCCCAAGGTTTATTTGATTTAGTGAGGTGACGACAGTCGGCATTGAGTTGTGTGAGCATTATTTGCGCAATAATGACAAGGCTGTAGTTGTCATATATTTGGTGGCGCCATTGAAGAACGGGAGACCCACACTTTAATCGTAGTCGTTGACTCAAAATTTGATTGTGCACCTTTTCATTTCAACGGATTGGATCATGATCCAAATGTACGGCCACGATCGTCTGGCGCATCAATCGAATTGCATATTCGTCGCATCTCTACCTATAAAATGCTTTGGGGGTATGGAGATGTCAATTTCCTTTCTCCTTACTAAAAGATTTGAAACATGAATGCTTTGCCCTTGATTTCTTTGATCCCTTCCCATTGTCATTGTCTTCAAGTGGTCTGTGTATTTGTGAGTAAAATAAGTTTAGCACTTATCTTTGAAGTTAACTTTAGTTATGGTTTCTAGTTCTGGTGAGAGAGTTTCTGGGGGGTTCTCTAAGTCAACAGATATAGCCCATATATATATGTCGAGGCTGGTTTGCCTCCCCATCCCAATAGAGCGAATCATGGAGGCAATGGGGGCCCCTCACAGTGAGTGGATGATGCAGGAGAGATCCATAGATTTTTGTCTGAGGTGGGGGGCTTCGCTATGGTCCTCCTGTATAAAGGAGAGTGAGCTAGATACCTTTAGGGAAAGGTACCGGATCCCATACAATATTGAGATGTTTGTGACGACCCCTGATGAAAGAGCTTGTTACCCTAGAGAGGGGTGCGTTGCAGTGAGTGAAGCTATCCTTTGTGTGTGGGGGGGGGGGGGGGGAAATTGCCTCTGTACCCATTTTTTAGGTATTTGCTAAGGCAATATAATTTGGCCCCAACCCAGTTGGTGCCGAACACATGGAGCCAAATGGCAGGGGCCTTTTTTTCTTTAGAAGGAGGTTGCTCTTGGCAAGGATATACCTCCCCATGTCTTCCAAACTCTTTTCCAGCCCCAGGCTTCTAGGGAGGAGGATAACAAGGGATGGTACTGTATTAACTCCTGGGGTCCGTATTTTCCCTTCATCTGGGACATTCCTACGTCAATAAAAAANTTTCCAATTTAATGGGGTGCAAACAAGTCACAAAAACTTTGTCATAATCAGAAAAACAGTAGAATGAATCTTGCATCTGATATTTGGAGTTGTATTCCTACTTTTAGAATTGAAAAATCCATTGGGGATTTGTAATTCCAGTAAGATGATTTAGAACACCATTAAATAATCTTCTTCTTTTCGAAGAACGACTTCAAATGCCATAGCTGTATTCCGCCCACGGACAAGCAAATAAAAAACGACAAAAAACTCAACCACGCCATTTTGCTATTTGTGGACCTGTTAAGTTTCCGCATTTCTTTTTCCCTGTAACAAGAATCAATCATACGAGATGAATAAGGTTCTACATCAGTTATCAAGTGAATTGCATATTTGGTGCAGAGTATAGAACAATATAGTGAACAAGGTTTAGCCTCAGAACTACATAATCCTCCGTACCAAATATGCCAAAGTTTTTTTAGTAAGCTAGAATAGAATAGCTCACCTTTCAACTAGATAAAACATCTCGTCATGGATAGATTGCACTGCATCAAACATTTTTTTCAGCTCCAATTCCATTACCTGGGACATGATAATACAGTTATTAAAATTAAAAAGAAAAAGTAGACAACACATCATTTTTATTGACAATTTACATCCAATTCAAGCATTTCAGGCATTACTACATATCTCCAATCAACTTTACCAAGTTCAGCTATCTTTAATGCAGTATGAAAAGGTCGTACAAACAACTTCGAGAAGAAGAAAAGATACATAACGGTATATAGATATAGAACAGTTTCGAATATCACCTGGAACCTGCTTTTGTGAATCATGAATCACTCGCTCATTATAGTCCTTGACAGCATCAAGAAAATGTAACCCAAAAATAAAATAGTCCCAACATTGCCATCTCCACAGATAAATTTATTCTGCCCCATGCTAAACTCAGTATAGGTACCACGATTGAAAAATGGGTTATAGGTACAAATTAAATAAACCCAAAGATATATATAGTAATGGTTTAGGAAGAACCAAGTTGGAGGGAGAAATGGAAAAAAGGCCCTTTTTTCAACTTTGTTGTTAGAATGAGACTCATTTTTGTAATAATCCCAATATACCCTTCTCCTCCTCCCTCAACTCAACCTTTCATCCCCTCCCCCTCCCACTTTTGCAATTAGACTACCTTGCCCCACCCCAAGCTGTATTAGCAAGATCCTCGGGAAGCTCTAAAGTATGCGGGGTGAAGGGAAGGGGAAGTGGGCATGCAGTAGAGGGCAGAGGGGATAGTAAGGTGATGAATTGGAAAGGAACGCCTTTCTCTAATAAGGAAAGGTTGGACATTTTATGCCTAAACAGACATTTTAAGAAAAAAAATTTAGAGGTGGCAAAATCCATAGAGCAAGTGACAAAATGAAATCTACAATTACAAGTACGAGATGTAAATGACACTTAATAAAAGATACACTCCGTGATCAAATCTACAATTAAGCTCGCTTTCAACTTAATACCAGAGACAGAATAAAATCACATGCATAGATACAATTAGAGCGAAGATGTAGAAGAATGAGCACTTACTTCAACAGAACCTTTCTTGGCAACATTCGTCCAATCCTTGGCAGCAACACCAGATTTCCAATCAAAGTCGACGTTAATGGTAGTGGAAGCTTTGTGATCACCGGCGAAAAAGCAAGCAATGTAATCACCTGCCTCCGCTGCTTGAAATGCAAAATGCCCCTCTGTCACATTGTCTGAGTAGTGATAGTTAGTCCCATAAGACGATGTCACCTACAAGTTATATACAAAATTAAATCAAACCGTTTCCACTCCATTAATAAACAGGAAAAATTTACATAGAATAAAGTAAAACCGAGGAAAGTCTTCATTTCGACTGAACTAACAAGCAAAACTAGAACATGACTTCTTCTCTTAAAATTTTCAAATCCTATTAGCCCCAAAGAAACACGAAAAGAAGAACGTCACCAAAGAATTCATGTGGTCAGATTAATAAAAACTTCTCCTCATAATAACATAAAAGTTCAACTGTAAGAATGGTTCTCCTCAAAACTCAGTTTTAATGAAGACAACTGCCGTTAAAGGGATTTAAAGGTTCAATATTTCTAAAATATCTTTGTTTTCAAATCATCATTCATAAATTGGTCAAAACCCATTAAGCAAATTGATAACAAAGGAGTAAAAAATCAAAATGCTTTAAAAAAAACTTGAACTACAAAAA